CATGTGACAAACATTTCAGCTGAGTGTATTTTTAGTACGAGAAGAACGATTGTTTTCAGTGAGTTGTGGAATTAAATTATTTAAACAATTGTACTAATTTCCAGAATTCATTTAAATACTGAATGCTTGTTTTTTTTTGTTCTAGCATTTTTTGAGGCCTAACATTCCCAATCTTCTTGAACTTTAGCTGCATATGTTGTACTAAAATCACACTCAATTTAAACTTTTACTAGATTTTTGCGCATTTGATGTCAATTTCTGGTCGAAAATCATAGTTTCACTAGGAAAAATGTGACAACCATTTCAACTGAGTGCATTTTTAGTACGAGAAGAACGATTGTTTTTACAAAAGTTGTGGATTTTAATTATTTAAACAATTGTACTAAATTTCAAAATTCATTTCAAAACTGAATGTTTGTTTTTTTTTGTTCTAGAATTTTTTGAAGTCTAACGTTCCAAAAGTTCGTTAGCTAAAGCTGCATATTTTGTACTAAAACCACACTCAATTTGGACGTTTACTAGATTTTTGCGAATATGACATCAACTACTGGTGATAAATGATAGTTTCACTAGAAAAATGTGACCAAAATTTCAGCTGAGTGCATTTTTAGTACAAGGAAACAATTGTTTTCATTGACTTATGGAATTTAATTATTTAAACAATTGTACTACATTTCAAAATTCATTTAAAAACTTAATGCTTGTTTTTTTCTAGCATTGTTTTAAGCCTAACGTTTTGAAACTTCTTAAACTTAAGCTACAATTTTGTACTAAAACCACTCTCAATTTAAATGTTTTCTAGATTTTTCCGCATTTGATGTCAATTTCTGTTTCAAAATGATAGTTTCACTAGGAAAATGTGACAAACATTTCAGCTGAGTGCATTTTTAGTACAAAAAGAACGATTGTTTTCATGGAGTTGTGGAATTTAATTATTTAAACAATTGTACTAAATTGCTAAAACTAAAAAACTAAATTTAAAAATACATTTAAAAACTGGATGCTTGTTTTTTTTTGTTCTAGCATTTTTTGAAGCCTAACATTCCGAAACTTCTTAATCATAAGCTGCATATTTTGTACTAAAACCACACTCAATTTAAAGTTTTACCAGATTTTTGTGCCTTTGATGTCAATTTTGGGTTGAAAATCATAGTTTCACTAGGAAAAAATGTGACAACCATTTCAGCTGAGTGCATTTTTAGTACGAGGAGAACGTTTGTTTTCACTAAAGTTGTGGATTTTAATTATTTAAATAATTGTACTAAATTTTATTAGTTAATTTAAAAACTGAATGTTTGTTTGTTTTTGTTTTGGATTTTTTTTAAGCCTAACGTTCCAAAAGTTCGTTAGCTAAAGCTGCATATTTTGTACTAAAACCACACTCAATTTGGACTTTTACTAGATTTTTGCGCATATGATATCCAACTCCTGGTGATGAATGATAGTTTCACTATAAAATGTGACCAAAATTTCAGCTGAGTGCATTTTTAGTACAAGGAAAACAATTGTTTTCATTGACTGATGGAATTTAATTATTTGAACAATGTTACTTCATTTCAAAATTCATTTAAAAAGTTAATACTTGTTTTTTTTCTAGCATTGTTTTAAGCCTAACGTTCTGAAACTTCTTAAACTCAAGCTACAATTTTGTACTAAAACCACTCTCAATTTAAACGTTTACTAGATTTTTCCGCATTTGATGTCAGTTTCTGTTTCAAAATGATAGTTTCACTAGGAAAATGTGACAAACATTTCAGCTGAGTGTATTTTTAGTACGAAAAGAACGATTGTTTTCATGTAGTTGTGGAATTTAATTATTTAAACAATTGTACTAAATTGTTAAAACTAAAAAACTAAATTTCAAAATTCATTTAAAAACTGGATGCTTGTTTTTTTTTGTTCTAGCATTTTTTGAAGCCTAGCATTCCGAAACTTCTTAATCATAAGCTGCATATTTTGTACTAAAACCACACTCAATTTAAACTTTTACCAGATTTTTGCGCCTTTGTCAATTTAGGGTTGAAAATCATAGTTTCACTAGGAAAAATGTGACAACCATTTCAGCTGAGTGCATTTTTAGTACGAGAAGAACGGTTGTTTTTACAAAAGTTGTGGATTTTAATTATTTAAACAATTGTACTAAATTAAAAACTGAATGTTTGTTTTTATGTTCTAGAATTTTTTGAAGCCTAACGTTCCAAAAGTTCGTTAGCTAAAGCTGAATATTTTGTACTAAAACCACACTCAATTTGGACGTTTACTAGATTTTTGCGCATTTGATATCAACTCCTGGTGATAAATGATAGTTTCACTAGAAAAATGTGACCAAAATTTCAGCTGAGTGCATTTTTAGTACAAGGAAAACAATTGTTTTCATTGACTTATGGAATTTAATTATTTAAACAATTGTACTACATTTCAAAATTCATTTAAAAACTGAATGATTGTTTTTTTGCATTGCTTTAAGCCTTACGTTCTGAAACTTCTTAAACTTAAGCTTCAATTTTGTACTAAAACCATTATCAATTTAACCGTTTACTAGATTTTTCCGCATTTGATGTCAATTTCTGTTTCAATATGACAACCATTTCAGCTGAGTGCATTTTTAGTACGAGAAGAACGATTTTTTTTTTACAAAAGTTGTGGATTTTAATTATTTAAACAATTGTACTAAATTTCAAAATTCATTTAAAACTGAATGCTTGTATTTTTTTTGTTCAAGCATTTTTGAAGCCTAACATTCCGAAACTTTTCAATCATAAGCTGCATATTTTGTACTGAAAACACACTCAATTTAAACTTTCAGTAGATTTTTGCGCATTTGATGTCAATTGCTGGCTCAAAATGATAGTTTCACTAGGAAAAACGTGACAAACATTTCAGCTGAGTGTTTTTAGTACAAGATGATTGTTTTCATTGAATTGTGGAATTAAATTATTTCAACAATTGCACTAAATTCCAGAATTCATTAAAAACTGAACGCTTGTTTTTTTTTTGTTCTAGCATTTTTTAAGCCTAACGTTCTGAAACTTCTCAAACTTTAGCTGTATATTTTGTACTAAAACCAAACTAAATTTAAACTTTTACCAGATTTTGACGCTTTTGATCTCAATTTCTGGCTGAAAATCATAGTTTCGCTAGGAAAAATGTGAAAAATGATAGTTTCACTAGACAAAATGTTATAAACATTTCAGCTGAGTGCAATTTTAGTACGAGAAGATCTTTTTTTTTCACTGAGAGCATTTGTGGATTTTAATTATTAAAACAATTGTACTAAATTTCAAAATTAATTTAAAACTGAATGCTTATTCTAGTTTTTTTGTTCTAGCAGTTTTTGAAGCCTAACGTACCAAAACTTTTAAAAGTTAAGTAAGATACATATTTTGTACTAAAACCACATTCAATTTAAACGTTTACTAGATTTTTCCGCAATTGTTGTCTATTGCTGGTTCAAAATGAATGTGACAAGCTGCTTGACAAATAAAAATTACGTATTTGATTTGAAAACATGATGTTGGTTACTGAACTGTGCCCAAACTTAGCCATTTACAGTTGGTGACAAAAAGACGCTGAACCTTAATTAGGATTACAATTAAATAAGTTTATCGTCAGTTCATATCGTCAATGCAAAGTTTCATTCTTATAGGCACAAAAAAAAAGAATAAATTCTCTTCTTACTCAGTTTTAGTACAATTATTATGAGGAAAAAATATCTAATCGGACTGTTCGTTTTTAAAAGCAGGAACATCAAAACCATGTGTACTAAAATCAAACTCGACTTCAACGAGGACTAGACAGTTTGGTATACTTCGATTTTTTGTTCACATAGCGAAGCTGTCGATTTCTATTATTTAATCAACTGTACTAAAGATGCTCCAATCACAAAGTGAATACTTTCCGGGATAAAAATGCATGTTCTAAAAATGCATTATCTACAGATACTTCATACAATTAATTGAAGCCATTGATTTAAGCATTTCAGTAGACCATAGTTTTAGTACAATACTGCATTTTTCGAACAGTCGAAAAGTTTTCAATGTAACCGAATGACGTGTACAGCAAACTTGTTCAAAGGCATTCAACAACATTAAATACGTCTTGAGCCATCGTAAAAACATATTATGTACTAAAACCACACTCGAACAATAATGCTCCCCGGATTTTTTACACTGTTGCTGCTGATTCAGCTAATGTTATCCAAAAACAGTAGCCCAAAAGATTGCAAAACAGAAACATTATAATGCCATTTCCACTAATGGATCCACCTCTATTAGCACCACCTCCGCTAGGAAATTCCGGATCCTAAATCAAGTTAGCCGTAGATCATGGCAAAATGTTAAGCAACTCGGACGGCAGCTCAGCAGCTTGGCACTTTTCACCTCATTTTATCGGCCGCAAATCGCAACACAAACATGGACAACGGCCATTCAAAATCCAACTTGATTTCCATATTTTCCGTAGGCTTGCTTCTGGTTGTGTTGCTTTTATTATGGGAAGACATTCACCTCTAGAATTAGTTCTCGCCTATTGAATACCTCCCTAATCGCTCTTTCGAGCAACGCATTTCGAGTTGTTAATTAGTCGAAACCCATTTGTCTGCCTCTTGGTTGAATCTTGATGGAGCGTTTCGCATATTTCATTGTTGTTTTTCTCGCGGCTGAAGCTGAAGACGGTCGCCGTCTTGACCCCGGGCAGACAAAACAACCCAATCTCATATTCAACCTCTCATCAACCTTCCATCATACGGGGTAACGGGGGGGATCCCGTTAAATGCGAATGCGAATGAATGGAACGGTTATTTCGTTCTGTTGTTCCCCACCATATCGACTGTAGGCCATCTGCTTCAGTGTTTTAGTTTTATTTTTATGGCCAAAATTGCAATTATTTAGACAACCTTGAAATAACAACGGATCGAAAACAATGCCCACCACCACGATCGTTTTTACTAATCATCGTTATTTTATCTCTTCTGTTCCCCCTCCATCCAATGGAACATACAGGAATTGCAGAATGAAGTCGGCGCTCTGTTGGAATTCCGCGATCTGGTTATCGAGACCTTTCCCGACCTTAAAACAAAGATGGCATCGTCCGCTGCCAACAGCACACTCACCGGCATCCCGTCGTCATCGCTGGCATCCAGGTAAGAGCTGTCGGGGTTGGATTAATTTAAAAAAAACGGTCGTCCCGATTCATTTTTTAGAAGTGTTGCCTAGTAGAATTCTCAGTAGTTGTCCCGATCCGCCTGATTCCAGGGTTCGTCCCTTCTGAATGTTAATCTCATTTGTGTGAGCCGTGCCAACTCAGCTGGTTCCTCGAAAGTTGTCGTGCTTTGTCTGGAGCGGTCGTCCCCCTTCCAGTGAAGCTACATTCCAAAAACGAAAATGGTAACGTGGTGTCCCGACTCTGGGTTTTGATTTCATTCGAGGATTCATACCGTACCGATACCGTACAAGCGAACAAAATATTAGCGGTCATTCCGACTCCAACGAAGCTACACCTGAAGTAATCGTCATATTGTTTCGATTTGAATTTTCACATGCTTGAGCACAACTTTTATCTTTTAAAGCACCCTGTGGTTGTCATGTGGATTTCGTTACTGTTTTTGCTTTCATGGTAGCGGGTTCGGCACACATTTTTTTTTTAAGGAAGCTCTCTCAACAGGTGTCCTGATTCCACCTTTGTGGGATTCTCACTGTACTCGTTAAACATCGAACATAGCTATTTAGTGTTAAGGATCGTCCCGAATCTTCTCCACAACATTCTCATTCTACCATTGTTCTAGCAAACCTGCCGTGGATTTTTAAAATTTGGCATTCTGATGGATTTTACCAATCTTCTAACGGATTTCAGTTTCGAAATAGGGGGAGGCAATTTTATAAGTACCAATCTTCTAACGGATTTCATCAAGGTTTCGAAATAGGGGGAGGCAATTTTATAAGTACGAAGAGGTCACTAGACCAAATTAGCCATTAGACTGAAATTAACATTTCTGACAAACCGTACTCAGCAGATCCTGATTATCAATTTTAGGGTTTTCCGGTGCTTTCCCGGAATTTGAAAAATGCTCGCGGTTGTACGATCTGCTTTTAAATTAAGCATATACATTGAGTAGTTCTCTGTGATTACCTTGCAATGTTCATTACAATCAGAAATTCAATGCAGAACACTCAAAACAGATCATGGAATTAATCCTTAAGAGAGAGAAGGATTAGTAATTTTCATTTAATTCCACTACCTTAATTGCTTATCCTTGACAGATACGCGTATTTCGTCTGCAATGTGCAGACTTCTTCAGTGTCTTGTACTAATACCCGAGTATTAGTACAAGACACTGAAGAAGTCCACGCATTTAGATGAAATACGCGTATCTGTCAAGGATAAGCAAAAAAGGTAGTGGAATTAAATGGAAATTACTAATCCTTCTCTCTCTCTCTCTTTATTCCATGATCTGTTTTGAGAGTGAACTTTAACCCTTCGAACACGGTGCCTCCAGTAAAATGTGTAACGAAAAACTGGCAATGTTTGAAAAATCATACCTCAGCCATTTATTGACGAATTTCAAATCTATTGACGCCATTTTAAATTTCACACTTTAAAGATTTATTCGGTATCAATAGATTTAAATCCTATTGATAAATTGCTGAGCAATGATTTTTCAAACATTGCCAATTTGTCGTCACACATTTTACCGGAAGCATCGTGTTCAGAGTGTTAATTATTCTTCAAGAATTCAGCTTCCTTTCACAATTCACTTGAATTCTCCATAGAATTTATATGCAATTTACCTCCTAAATTTTTCGATATCAGGGAAATTTCAACTGAAGTAAGTACAACTCATAATAATCGTTTGTAAGATTACAACACTTCTAGAGAACGTGCAATTATTACCCTAGGATTTCGATATTCAAAGATCTTTTTGGAGGCACTCAAACCATTTGCCTTTTGGCGTACGAGCTCTTTGGACAGGCTCTTAATGTTTTCTGGACATGATTTTGAGGTATAACTTGAGAAGACCCTTAGCTCCGGTGTGGACACCCCTGGTCCTGATCTCTGGGATTTTTGGACAAACCCCAAGGATTTACTTCAAATCATCAGTAGTCATCCTGGGGTTTCTGCAAATGAGCTGTCTGAGTCTTGAGATCCTACCTTTGAAGGAATCGGAAGGTCGAAGTGACAAAAGGTCGAATTATGAATGAAACAATAGGACAAAAGGTTGAAGAACAAAAGGTCGAATCATGAATAAAACAATAGAACAAAAGGTAGAAGGAAAAGAAGGTTGAAGGACAAAAGGTTGAAGTAACAAAAGGTCGAATCATGAAAAAAAACAATAGGACAAAAGGTCGAAAGGAGAAAAAGTCGAATCATAAAAAAACAATAGGACTAAAGGTCGAATCATGAAAAAAAAGAAAAGGACATAAGGGGGAAAAGGCTAAGGGTCGCAGAGACAAAAGGTCGAAATGACGAAAGGTCGAAGGGAAAAAACGTTGAAGGGATAAATGGTCGAAGGACTTAAAGGTTGAAGGTACAAAAGGTCGAATCATGAAAAAACAATAAGACAAAAGATCGAAGGAAAATAAGGTTGAAGTACAAAAGGTCGAAGTAACAAAATGTCGAATCATGAAAAAAAAATAGACAAAAGGTCTAAGGAAGAAAAGGTCGAATCATTAAAAAACAATAGGACAAAAGCTCGAATCATGAAAAAAAAATGACACGAATGCCACACAATAATGTGGTAAAGTGTCATAAATAAATAATAATAATAATAATAATAATGAAAAAAAAAACAATGCCATAAGGTCGAAATGACAAAAGGTCGAAGGGAAAAATGGTCGAAAGAATAAATGTTCGAAGGACTAAAAGGTCGAAGGGACAAAAGGTCGAATCATGAATAGAACAATAGGACAGAAGATCGAAGGAAAATAAAGTTGAAGGACAAAAGCTCGAAGGGACAAAAGGTTGAATCATGAAAAAAAAACAATAGGACAAAAGATCGAAGGGAGAAATGGTCGAATCATAGAAAAAAACCAATAGAACAAAAGGTGGAATCATGAAAAAAAAGAAAAGGACATAAGGGCGAAAAGGCTAAAGGTCGGAGAGACAAAAGGTCGAAATAACGAAAGGTCGAAGGGAAAAAACGTTGAAGGGATAAATGGTCGAAGGACTAAAAGGTTGAAGGTACAAAAGGTCGAATCATGAAAAAAACAATAGGACAAAAGATCGAAGGAAAAGAAGGTTGAAGTAAAAAATGTCGAAGTAACAAAATGTCGAATCATGAGAAAAAAATACGACAATAGGTCTAAGGAAGAAAAGGTCGAATCATTAAAAAACAATAAGACAAAAGGTCGAATCATGAAAAAAAAAACAAAATGACATAAAGTCGAAATGACAAAAGGTCGAAGCGAATAAATGTTCGAAGGACTAAAAGGTCGAAGGTACAAAAGGTCGAATCATCAAGAAAACAATAGAATAAAAGGTAGAAGGAAAAGAAGGTTGAAGGACAAAAGCTCGAAGGGACAAAAGGTCGAATAATGAAAAAAAAAAAATGTGGAATATATTGCCAAATACTAGAGCTGCACCGAATAGTGCTATTTGGCCTGGTATTCGGTGTTTACATGCAAAGTTTCGCTACACGGCAAATGAGAACGACCCAAATTTGAGTTTAGTTCACTCATAATCGCCAAAAGTGCAGGAACTCAGCGATGAGTAAAATTTGTCTTATGTTTTCCAAGGTTTTTCCAGGATTTACCAGGGGAAAATTCCCGAATTTGAGAAAAGTAAAGATTGGATTCACTCAGTCTCAGTGGCGTCGCGTCCACAAGTGCAACCTGTGCACTGCACAAGTGTAAATAATAAAAAAATGGGTTTAGATTTTTATAGATTTTTATAGTCACATTATAGCTGTACTTCTTTGCTCCAGACCACAAGTGACCATGAATACACTATTTTATAGTGTGGTTCAATTAAATCTTCGACCTTGGTTTGCTTCAAAAAGTATTAAATCCAGTTCGGATGGTCTGCCTAATCCCTAATGCTTTGATTTTTAAGCATGTCGATAACACTACCATGACAAAACTCCTTAAATAGTGCACTTAAAAGCGAGCTTTTTTGGGTGACGGGCGGCAAGTTTGTGAATGGTCAAATGCCTGATGTAAGCCAAGCAGATCTTCTATCCCCTTTTGAAACATACCACAAATTTTCCACAATACATGGCGGTTTGGACCACTAGTTGTAAGTGAAGCTTTCAGAAGTTACGCGTTAAACGGGAGCAACACGAAAACAGCAGTCTGGTACGATTTGGACGTGTATTATACTTGAAGACCGGTTTGAATGTGTGAGTTTAAATTAGAAGAAGATTTGTGATGTATGGGTGCCTAAAGCGTGCATTTTTCGCTGTGCACGTGGATATCTGATTGCAGGCAAAGAGAGTAATGGAGAAAGAGAGCGCAAAAGCTCGCTCTCACTCTCTTGTCAGTTGTGAATCGCTCAATTACCGCCGATGCGTCTGTCAAAACTTATGAGCTTCCCCTGGTTCATTCTGATAGTGTTGTTCTGAAGAATAAAGAGTTGATTAATTCAATTTTGCTACCCAGGGGACTTCATGAATTTTCTCTAGATTTTGACATTGTTTTGTATCAAAAAAATGTTCAGAAGCGTTTGACGGATATTCTTTATTATACTTCAGTCGAAAGAGTTGGCCTTGTGATAAAAACGAGAATTCAAGCTGAACATTGCATTAGGTCCTAACTAACATTGACAGATTCTCTCCGTTGACTTTCTGTTTGTATCTCCACGGCCGTGTAAAGACATTCCCAGGTATTTTCAGCACACAGAGTGATAAACACAACAAGAAATGGTTATGTGCTCAAGTTATTAACGAAAGAGAAAGTCGACGAAGAGAATCGAGCAATATTACTTAGGACCTAATTCAATGTTCAGCTTGAATTAGTTAAGTTTTGCAATTCCTTACTTCGGTTAGCGCGAAAAGGGCCATACAAGTTTTGTTTACACAAAATGATAGGCCCTTCAAATGTGACGTTAGGTAGTGATCAATATAGTAATTGAGAATATGTCCTTCGAATTCATGGAGCATTGAAATATAAAACAAAAACTAATATGTGGTGGTAAAGTATAACGAACAAA